CAGGTGATCTGAGAGCGACGTGAAAAAGTTTATTCTAGGTGGATCTGATAGAAAAAGAGGGTACAGGAGGGATCCCGTGAAAATCGCAGATGGTTTTAATGTAACGTAATTTCGGCGGTGAATCCCTTATGGTTTGAGGCACCTTTGAACGACTGAGCGGCTAGAGCTCGCTTTTGTTTCCTTTCAAAGGATTCCATAGGGTATCGTGAAGTTCTTTTGAAGCGAGTTTACCATTTTTCGACAACAACCCCCTCGAATCCTTGATTTTTACGCACGATAACGCGGCTGTCCATGCCGGTCCTTACACGCCAGATGGAAGTGCAGGAAAAAATGTGGCAGTTATCTGGTGGCCACCATGTTATCTGAATCAGATTCCAATGGAGAATCATTGGGCCTTAATTGTTATAAAGTTCCACAGCAAAGAAAAGCAAAATGGAACAGCCGAAGAGCTGAAAACGTCGATCATCGGCCCACAGACAAATTTCGATCCTAATGTAATAGCTAATTTGGTTACAGCATTCAAAACGTATTATTGTGTTCCTTATGACCAATGGAGGATCCCATTATTGAAAATTTGTGACGTTTTTTTGTTATAATAAAATCTCTCGACAAGTGATGTGTAGTCATATTTGCGAAACGGTGAAAATACGTTCTAAGGAAGATATTTTAATAATTCTGAATCGAGATTTCTCCAGAAATCAAGTATCAAGGTTTTTCGTTATGGGGAAACTATTGGTAATAGCGGCATTTTCCAAAAATGCACAGCAACTTTGGAATAGCAAAAATTTAGGGTGGACCTATATTTATGAAACGCATTGTATCTCCCACCCTGCGCCCGTGCGATTGCGTACAGCAGGCGATTACAGTACTCTCACGGCTAGTTCCGCTATCGTTGGCACCCTGTTTTCGATTGAATAACTACGGGTAGAACTTGTGATGAGAGGAAATAATAAGACTAGATGACTTATATCTGGTCTAGCAGTTTTTATTTAATATATACTGTCGAAATGTCCGCCGTGAAGGTTTGTGTTCAGGGTCAAGGCGTGCGTTGAGGCATCCTTGACACGTCACGTGGGGGCGTATTGGCCCGCTGTGAGGAAGAGATAAGGCTGGATTGATGCAGAAGGTCTCTGACAGATTCTGCAGCAGAGAGAGGCACACCATCTACAGTGTACGATCGCATCGACGGTGAAGTTCCAGACATCAGTTGCATGAACACTGTTTTGTGTGGCCGCAATTGGGAGTTGCCACTGCTTGGACCAGTTCACTGTTAGATCAATCGCTTTCTGGAGTGTTTGGGAATCCTTCGCTGCCGAGATTGGTCTATAGATCTTCATATCGTCTGCATATACCTTCGCTGTAACACCTGCTTCATGAAGCATGTCAGGGAGTTCGGGCTGTATCCTACTATATTATAAAGCGCTAACTTTGTGTGTCGGTTTGTGTATCTGTATATGTGTGTGTGTGTGTGTGTGTGTGTATGTGTGTCCGTCCGCAAAATGAAGTGAGTGAGAAGGAAGCTCATGGGATAAACAAACCGCTAACAAATCGGGTAGCTTACAGGATTTGAGATATCATGTTTTGTAGATAGTTGTGATAACACTCTCAGGGCTATATAAACACCTGCTTAGCACACTTCCGTTCATTCCACATGGTGCTGCAGTGGCAGCTGGAGGGCAGTGGAGAGAGGAAGGGAGGATGAGGAAGGGAAGCGAAAAATCTACCGTCATATCATGATTGTGTCCCTTCTACTGTATGAAACACCATTGTGTTGCATACGCGTCACTTCCACGAGGTGTTGGTGTCACAGGAGGAAGGGACCATAGCGGAGGATAGAAAGCTTGCGCAGGAAAGGAAGGTCCCGGCGGTTGACGGGGGACTAATCTGGTAAATATATTAAAAAGCACTGGTGACAGCAACCGCCTTTGGGGAACACACTGACACAGGCCGCTTTGTCCACTTCGAGAAAGCACTGTCAAAGGTTAACTTGGAAACCATTTCTACCACATGGAGTATTATCTGAGGATCTCAACTTCGTATGAATCAGGTGAATCTCAGCACTTACAGCTTGAAGGGATCAGCTTTCTTGTGTGTAAACCACTCTGAATCGAATCACTTTGAGAAAAGTCGAAAAAAGTGACATCTGCAGGGAGAGTTTGTATCAATAGCCTTCAGTCCAGCATCGTTGAGGCAACTTCGATTAGATTGTGTTTGACCAGAACAGACCTGGACAAACAGCCAAAGGGGGGAGGGGGGGGGGGGGGGGGAGGGGGGGGGTGTTGATGCTTCAAATGGAGGACGAGTGAGGTACGTCAAGGTGACGAGAGGCAAATGTCTCTGTTCAAGACTTTCTCAAATAGCCTACAGAAGAAAGATGTAATAATAACAGGGCGATAATTTTCGGGGTTCCATGATGGCTCCTTCTTCCAGTGAGAAGCGGTGTAACAAAAGAATGTTTCCATCGTGAAGGTATCTCTCCGAAGGATAACGACTGATTGAAGATATATGCAAGAGGACCGCAGATAACATCAGCTATTCTCTGCACGACAAAGAACGGCACAAAATCGGGAGTGACTGAAGACGACCCAGGCCACTTCATGATTAACTCATACAACTTGGGGCGGCAAACCAGGGAACTTCCTCATAGGCTCAACAGATGGGACGATCATATCGGGGACGCTCCCATCATCTTCTTGGAAGACACTCTCGAAATGATCGGCTAGCATATTGGCTTTATCCAATGGAAGAGATTGCAACAACTCCCTCCTTTCTCAGACAACCGATTCGCTTAATGTCCTGGACTCTTCTGCTCAAATACCTATAGAAGCACCTAACATTACCTGATTCAATAATTTTTCTCTCCAAATAATCATTATATTTTTTGAGACGTACGTGAAATCTTTGTGTGAAGGTTTTGTATTCATCCCACTTCCCGGATTGCCTGGCTTCGTTAAATAGACATTCTCTGTGCTCCCACATATTCTGTAAGTGCTTGGGAAGGCGAATTGCATTGACGTAAGGAACCTTCTTCCAAGGAACAAAGTAGTCAATCGCGCCATGCAGGATAGACAAGAAAAGCTCGTATTTTTCATTTACATTACCTTTGGATTCAAGCAGGGGCACCCAGTGTATTTGAGCCAAACTTTGGCACAAATATTGGCACTTTGGCATAGGCATCTCCAAAGTTGCAACTAGAATACATGCGCTTGTAAACGTAGAGAGAAGAGGACACTTTGGCTGCTATTTCAAATGTAATACTATTGTGATCGCTTCAAACCTACGGGGGTGTAACCTTTAGATCTCTTATCAGACATGATGCGGTAGAGAAAACTAAATCAAGAACATTGTCACCCCTGGTCGGTTCTCGTACATGCTGGACAAGATTATGACAATGAACCAGCTCATTCAAACAAGCCTTTGTAGCTGAACCAGAACGAACATCTATTTGGCGGCAAAATTCCGGCAAGTTAAAATCACCTACTATCACACTGTGCTTTTCACATGATATCAAGTCACTGAGTGTTTTTACAAGTAGCTCAGAATTTGTTTTGGAACACGAGGGCGCCCTGTAAGCCACAATCAATCTGATACTAGAGCCTTCACAAAATACGTCTACACAAAGAATCTCGAATGAGTCCTCTACCGATTCGGCGAACACTAGAAGCAAAGAAAGCCTACGTTAATAACCACCTGCTTTCTTAGGACGATTTATGAACATGACGTAGTTGTCTACAACTCTACCCAGTAAGCCAGCTAACGTGTGGCTTGGCTTTAGCCATGTCTCTGAGAAGGCAAAAATATCGTAATCTTTGGAGAGCAAAATCTTTACAAAATCCCTTCCTAGAGACTGATCTCGCATTAGAGTACAAAAATCTAAGCGGTCTAGCATACCGAGGAAAGCTTTTCAGTTTCCCTCGATGCTATCAGAGCGACTAGCCACGTGGTTAGGATTCGCGGTTACGGTACTACCACTAGCAGGTGGTGTGCCGTCCTCATTCCCTAGCCACGCGACTGCGTTCCTCCCGCCTACGCCTCCTCTGCTCTGGGGTCAGGGATTCCCTTAAATAGACGCCCTGCCCAGAGAAGTAGCGAAGCCGCGAGGCTCTTTTTACCGCCAATCGCTGGAAAACTCTGGACGGTAATACAACTTTCAGCAGCCTATCCTTGCCTATCGTAGGCCTACCTAGACGATACACACTCAACGGATTGCATTCAATACCTAGAAAATCTAGAATATTACAAACGCTAGCATAATCATAAGATAGACGCTCCTTGGTAGCTCGAGACTTCAACTCAGGTACCCCGCTAATAATCAGAGAGCGAAGCCTCTCGACTTCCTGGTAAGGTAATCCTGCTTCAACGGAAGCAGGAGCACTACCAGAAACCCTGACACGTGGTCGTAACTTGCATTAGATGAAAAATCACGAGGCATTGATTTCCGAAGGCAATCTAACTCTTGCCTGAGTTCCCTGTTTTCCACGTGAAGCGATTGAAGTTCGCGTGTGATCGCGGCAATAACCTTAATCCCATCGGCGATGCGGTTGGACTTTGTGATCGCCCTGCAGCTCCTTGGGAAGCGCCACATCCTCCACTCCAAAACATCGTCCTTCTGCCCATTGGACAATCCTCGCTGCACCTGCTTCGTAGGTCCATTGCAAAATGTGACAATTGATCAATGTCAAAATTCGGATCGATCCAATCACGAACGGCTGTTGCACCGCTGTCACTCAAAAATCAGAATGAATACTAACTTAATTACCTTTGTTGGTGGCACTCAAGACGGTCCGAGACTGCACGCGTGCCACAACGAGCAAAGTGTGAGCTTTTGAAGCTTGTACAGCGGAAGCAGTTGCAGAAAACGATAGTTAGTCGGAGAGAAGGGGTGAGCCGCCGCACCGTACGATAGCACAGGAGACCCTCTTAGGTCTATTG